CTTCCATTGTGGACACCTCTCTCCTCTTTGAGATTGTTCTATGAGAATCAGTAGCAGCCTTCGATTCGAGCTCAGTATAACCAGCGTTTATATGGACCCATGCATTGCCCATGCCAGTATCTGTGACTTCTCTTGGTCTCTATACATACTGTGATCGAATGTTTTGTGTAACAACCCGGTTTTTCAATTCAGGCATGTTTGTTATTCAAACCCGAACTAAAACGCTTTAAAGCCCAATTCCCATTTCTCGATATTTCCTTTTTCTTTGGAGAGATAAATTTTTTCTCATTTTAGATATTACATTTTTTTAATATGATAATAATGAACCTCTTCCTAAAAATATTTGTAAATATCATTTCTAATAATTATCCTTTCCTTTTTCCGTGGTTATCTCTACTTCCTGCATAAGTTAGCCCTTGTGTATAAATAGAGGATCCTTCCCTATTATTTTTCTTCATCCTAAACTTGCAGAGAACTGAGAACCCTAGAACTCTCTTCTCTCTATTTTCCAGCCGTCGAGACCTTCTCTCTCTCTTCACTGCGATGTCACGCCGCCCGCCCTCCTCTCCTTCGCAGCCGTCTGATGCCCACAGCAGCCGTCCAGGGAGGCACAGCCCCTTCTCGGACCGGAACGTCGTCACCCGCCGCCACTACCAAAGAGACTCGCATCCATCACCTTAGGGATGACCCGTTTCTGCTCCGGCCAGACGCTTTGCCCCGGTCTTTCACATCAACAACGAGCCAGGCTCCCCACGAAGCTATCCGTTGTCGCTGCCGCCGCTCAACCAGCCTGTAAGGAAGATCAACCTGGCGTGGTTCGCCGCCGTGGAGAACTTGCCTTCATTTGCTTCTCCTTACCTCCCCTCGCCACCTCCTAGGCCAAGGTGAGGATTAATCTGTGCTAGACTATTGTGTTCTCGCTTTTCCTAATGCCTAGTTTGGGGTTAAACCAAGCATTTACTATTTTCTGCTTTAGAACGGAGTCCCGGTTAGGTCTGATTAGGACTTTGTTGACTGTGTGGATCATTTAGATATGTTAGGATTTCAAAACTGAAGGTACATGAGATTAAAATGAATGTTACTTGCGTTTGAAATGCTTTGATTGTTTATTTGCTGTTTGGTTCTCTTGTGTGGTGATTGTGTGATCGCTTAGTACTTGTAAAGAGGATAGGGACTTAATATGATATTGTGTGAGACGATGATTGAGATTGTTGAAATGTCTGAGATGAGAATTAAGATCATAAGGCAGAGGAGCCATGGTCAATATACTTGAGTGGAGGACTATTGTGTGGGTCCGAGATGGATGGTTGAGAATACATTGTCGAGGGCTGTAATCAATATACCAAAGTAGAGGATGGTCACTAAGCCAAATGGGCAATATGCATGGGGGTACTGAGGGACCTGACGCCACTGGGCCGGTATGAGGTACCGCATTGTCCTGTGTGGATTGACGACGTTTATTTGCTGATAAACTAGCATGTCCCATGGTAGTTGACTGACAAGCTAGTCGTCGACTGCGACTTAAAAAGAATAGCAGATAGTACAGTTATAAAGTCACGCATAAGTCACCCAGAGTTCGCAAATGGGCTCACTGGAGCTGGCATCGGGTTCTCGTAGGATATTGTGTGAAGTCTTTAGGACTTTCTATGGTGCTGTTTTAGGCTTGAACTTAGCGTTTGTTAAGTTATGGTGCATTAATAGGATAGACTAAGTTCATCTCTTGGGTATACTCATCCCTCCACCCTTTCTTCTTCTCTCTCGATCCTTCTAGCAGGTTAGGTGAGTATGAATGCTTGAGTATCGCATGTGGTGTGGAGTTGATTGTCTAACAAGGCGCCTTCGGATTCTGGGACTTGTAAAAAGGATAATGCAGTTGGCTTTAAGCACAAACGGTTATCTTGACATTGGCCAGTATGATTATATGAACGAATCCAGTGTCACAAGTTTGGTATCAAAGCCAAGGTTAAGACTCTTCGGTTTTGTCCCGAAGGATCAGTCCTATAAACTTTTAGTGTTTACAAATCCTATGTGTGCACTTAGCTTGTTTTACAAACTGTTTCATGACGTCAACCTATGCATACTTGACATCCCGGAAGCGAACCACTCTGCTCTACAAGGTTCCAACTCGACTCGCCCGTCCCATTCGGAACATGCCAACTAGGGAGGAGGTGAACGCATGTGCTGCACTAGCGATGGACGTGCTCGAAGCTGTGCAAGCTCGAGGCATGTGTTGATCCTCTTTTGGGAGAGCGATGGCCCATGGAGTCTAGCCAACACGCAAGCACGGACGTCCCCGCAAGAACCCTGCACCACCTCTTAGGTCCAGCCGTCTTACCCGCGGCTTAACCAGGGTGAACGTTACGTGCAGCAGTACTTCATGGCCTACCTCGAGGATGTGAGTGACAATGGTATAGTCATATGATGTAATGTTTGGCGGCGATAGATTTCCGAGATGGGTTGAGGCCATAGATCTGCGGCGGGATACCCCATCTCGACGAGGACGGTCCTATTCGAGAAGCCAGCCAAGTCCTTGACATAGCTCGGATGATCGAGCAGGAGATCAAAGAGGAGCAGAGGCAGGAAGACGAGGGAGGCTACGAGTCGGACCTGTCAGAATGCGAAGTGCCAGGCGACCATGACTATGATCCCAAACATGACAAGGAGAAGCGACATGAAGACTGATCTAGAATTGGGCAGCGCTTTTGAGGTGTTGGGGGGATTCATTTTCATTATTAGAATAAGATAGATTTTATTTTATGCATTAAACTAAGAGCCATATTCTTTGTTGATTGATTGATTGCTTGATTTATTTTAATAAAATTTTGATTGCTAGAAAAGATCTTCAATTATTTTTTGTGTCTTCCATTCCATAAACATTTTGCAGTAGCTTTCCTTGGTATGATCTCCAAGTCTTCCTCTTTACCTTATGCCGGTCGTGGAGACCATGCCTTAGAATTCGAGACGAATTCTCGTTAAGGGAGGAATAATTGTAACGACTCAGTTTTTCAAACCAGGCATGTTTTTTATTCAAACCCGAACTAAAACAGTTTAAACCCCAAATTCCTATTTCTCGATATTTCTTTTTTCTTTGGAGAGATAAAGATTTTCTTCTTTTAGATAATATTAGATTTTTAATTAGATATTAATGAACATATTCCTAAAAGGATTTGTAAATATACTTTCCTTTTTCGTGGTTATCTCTACTTCTTGCAAAAGTTAGCTCTTGTGTATAGATAGAGGATATTTCCCCATTATTTTTCTTCATCCTAAACTTGCAGAGAACTGAGAATCCTAGAACTCTCTTCTCTCTCTTTTCCGGCCGTCGAGACCTTCTCTCTTTCCTCGCTGCAATGTCACGCCGCTCGCCCTCCTCTCCTTCGCAGCAGCCGTCCAGGGAGGCACAATCCCTCCCCGGACCGGATGTCGTCACCCGCTGCCACTGTCGAAGAGCCTCGCGTCCACCACCTTCGGGATGGACCCATGGCTTCTCTGGCCAGATGCTTTGCCCCGGTGTTTCACATCAATAACGAGCCAGACTCCCCATGCAGCTATCCGCCATCGCCGCCGCCGCTCAACCAGCCCGAAAGGAAGATCAACCCGGCATGGTTTGTCGCCATGGAGCACTTGACTTCATTCGCTTCTCCTTACCTCCCCTCGCCACCTCTTTCGCCTCCTAGGCCAAGGTGAGGATAAATCTGTGCTAGATTTTTGTGTTCTCGCTTTTCGTAATGTCTAGCTTAGGGTTAAACCAAGCGTAAACTATTTTTTGCTTTATAATTGAGTCTCAGTTAGGTCAGATTAGGATGTTGTTGACTGTGTGGATCGCTATGGATTAACTGATCAAAGTCGAACATCTGTCTGTTCTTCCGTTAATTTTGGACAATAACTCTCCTCATGTGAGATATATTTGCAAGTCAAACAGAATTCATGATGTCCTTTATACTCCAGAATTACCCTTCCTACAGCTCTAGAAAACCAAATTTTCTTTCAAATTGGATTGGCGCATCAATATTGATGGATATTTGGATTCTAGCGCCATTAGCATCGAAAGGGTTTTCCTAATTTTCCTAAAGGTTGAATTGTACCATAGATTGACTAGAACCCCGTCACTTTCACAGTATTTGGGAAATCATTTCTTGTTGATGACTCCCATCGCTCAAGGGAGGAGCTCCAACGGTTAAATGGCTTATCCGCTTGCTTAATACCTTCACCAGATTCTCCTCTTTGTCAAAGTCAAATTGGAGCATTCCATTACCAAGGTTTTAATTATTAATCTTCCTTCTACGTCTCAAATCATCGTAGGAGGCAACATGGATATTAGAGCCTCAATACTCTTACCCTCCCGATGGAACATTTTTCCAATGAGTGTGTGTTTAAATCTTCCCAAAACAACTAACAAATCACATTCAGGAATTCTCATGATATCCTCATCAAGATGAAGAACCTCCCCGGCGATTATTACCAAACCCATTGCTCATTTTGTAGACTAAACGTGAGATCCAAACAAGGGGTGATAAGATCGTATCAGAAGGAACTCTTTTCATTATCATAGATTCTCACCACCGTAAACTTAGCATAAAGCTAGAACAACAGAAATCTCCAAGCAAAACTGACAAAGTTTCGAAAGCACATAATTGATTTTGTAGCAAATCGTTAGAAAATTCTCCACCAAATCTTGAAAAAACTTAAACCCCAATGACAAGAAACCACGACGAACAATTATTACCAGATCTCCGTCTATATGCTAAGAGAGAAGCCCTCACCCAAATGCTAGCACAATAATTCAATGTAGTTATTGAAGTCTACCGTTAAATTGAGTGTATGAAAGATTTAGGGATCTGGACCCACCCTTATGATCACCAAAACCCTAGCGCCGCCTATGCATGATAATTTTTTTTAATTATTTTTTATTTTCTTCCTCTTGAATAGATTAATAGTAAGACGTTACAAAATCATCATTAAATACAGATAATATAAAGTTTGGTAAATAATGATGATATTTAGATGTGATTCCATCTCGTAAAGGTGACTTCGCCAATATATCTGCAGCGCTTTGTTCGAATATTTTGTTGTCCATGTGAACTTGGCTTCATCATTGCCCACCATCTTATATCTCGGTTCCAATTATGAGCCTTGAAGTGTAAACTTTTTCTTGTTACTGCAGTCACAACTCGTTGACAATCTCTTTCAAATATAACCTTTCTATACCCTTTGTCTCGACATTGATGCATATGTAGTAGTAAAGCTTGTAACTCACTCTCAAAGGGAGTTTGAACTCTATCTCCTTGTGTTTGGGCAGCATTGTAAAATTCTCCATGTGTATTACTTAGTATCCAGCCACTTTTCGATCTTGTTTCTTTGTCTATGAAGGAGCCATCATAATTGCATTTGTACCAATTTGGATGTGGCCGTTGCCATGGTGTTTTAGTTCACAGACTAGTATCCATCTGTCGAGGACCTTGATGGGTGTTTGGTTGCGAACTTTCTTGCTCTTGAACTTGTTTTACCGTGTCCTGCCATTCATTATAATCATCTCGAGCATAACGTAGACTACTTAGCCATGATATATGTTTCTGTTGAGATAGGAGGATATTCCTACTCTTCCAAATTCGCCACAGGATCCATAATGGAAGTTCTTGAAAAGCAGATCCCCGAGAAGAGTTAAGACATGCTGCTATCTTTGTTTCCAGTGTTGTCGAATGGTCAAATAGCTCCGGTGGTGAAAATCCTGATGCTCGCCAGATTGATTGCGCATAAGGACAAGTAAAAAATTGGTGTTGTGTAGTTTCTTCTTCAAGACAGCACCGTTGACAGGTTATGTGTCTAGTAATATGTCTTCTGCGAAGATTTTTCCCTGTTCCCAAAGAACTTAAAACCATTTTCCAAAGTAAGTGTTTTATCTTTGGGGTGATCCTACTTTTCCAGATGTTTTGTTTTAATATGACTCCTCCCGTCGGAGGTTGAATGAGTGTTGAAGATGGCAAATGAGTTGCCAACCAGTATCCTGATTTGACAGTATATAATCCAGATTCGGTATATGACCATCCTAATAAGTCGCGAATACCTGTAGTTGATAATTTGAGTCGTAATACATGTTCAACATCCTCTGCAGCAATCATCAATCGAACCTTATCTTCATTCCATCCTGTATTTGTGTTATTGAATAGCATATTGATAGGGCCATCAGGTGGTGTTGGTGATCCCAGTTTTGGTGGTCTCGGAGGGTGTAGAGGAAGTCATGGATCCTTCCATGTGTTGATGACTGAACTGTCTCCTATAACAAAACACAAACCCATAGCTAGTAGTTCCCGGCCATGAAGAAGGGAGTTCCAGATATATGATCCTTTTTGTATTTTCTTCCCTTACAGTATCGTATCATCGGGAAAGTATCTGCCTTTGAGGATTCTAGCCATTAGACTTCGTGGATTTTGTAAAATCCTCCATACCTGTTTGGCTAATAGAGCTTTGTTAAATTGTTCTAGCTCTCGGAATCCCAACCCACCTTCGCTTTTAGGTATTCCTAAACGCTTCCAATTGTACCAGTGTATTCTTTTCTGATTATGTCCTTTGGCCCACCAGAATTTTGCTAGGATAATGTTAATCTCATTTGTAATGTGTTTTGGCAGTCAAAAGACATTCATAGAAAAAACTGGCATATCACATGCCACTGACTTGAGCAAGATATCTTTTCCTCCTTGAGATAAAAATGTTTTGTCCCAACCTGTTGTACGTGTTTGAACTTTCTCTTTGATATATTGAAACAGTTCGCATTTCTTGCTTCCGAATTGTTCCAGTAAACCTAAATATTTACCGCCCCCTCCATTATTATGTATGCCTAAAAGGTGCCGCATCTGTTGCTTAGTTGTATGTTTAACCTTACTACCAAACATTATAGCTGATTTGTTGAGGTTAACAGCTTGGCCCGAGACTGATTCACAGATTTTTAGTATATGTTTCAGCGCGTTTCCTAACCTTGGGTTTGCTAGTGTGAAGAATAGCGAGTCATCTGCAAACATTAAGTGATTGACTGCAGGTGATTTGTTATTGATTTTTATCCCTTGCAAACGTCTCTCTGATGTAGCCATGTTCATGAGGTAAGACAAAACTTCCGCACAAAGGATAAATAAGTAGGGAGACAGGGGATCGCCCTGACGGAGTCCTTGTTGTGGATGTATCATCCCTTCCACGGAGCCATTAATGAGCAATGAAAAACTCACACTGGAGACACAAATCATTATCCAGTTGATCCACTTTCCAGCAAATCCAAATTGTTTCATGGTTTCAGCTAAGAAAGACCATTCTAGACGGTCATACGCTTTCGTGATATCAGTTTTCAGCGCCATGTAGGATGTAGCCGACCTTGTTCGGACTTTTAAGCTATGAAAAACTTCGTGTGCTACTATAATATTTTCCTTGGTCATTCTTCCCAGGATAAAAACCGCTTGGTTCTCTGAGATCATCATCGATAGGTGTGTTTTAAGCGGTTAACAGAAATTTTAGAAATAATCTTGTAGAATACGTTACATAAAGCTATTGGCCGGAAATCAGACATTTTTGTTGGCGGAGACACCTTGGGTATCAGACATATGTTCGTGTGATTATGAGCTTTATCAAACGAACCTTCGCCAAAAAAGCTTTTATCTCTGGTTCAATCTTATCCCTTAGTTCAGGCCAGTAGGTTTGGTAGAAATCCGCCGAGAAGCCATCTGATCCTGGTGCACGATGAGCACCAATATTGTATACAGCCATTGTAATTTCTTCAGAAGTAAGCTCTCGTGTTAGCTCGTTATTCATGTCGTCAGTTACACTCGTTTGAAACCCACGAAATATTTCTCGTGGCGATGTCGTTGTGAAATATTGTGCAGCGACTGTGGCGATGTCGTTGTTCTTCGTCTGATGATTCCTTAATCATCAATAATTAAAGGAATATGATTCTTAACTCTTCTTGTCTTTGTGACATTATGAAAGTAGTGCGTATTGCGATCTCCCTCCTTGAGCCAAGTGATTCTACTCTTTAGCTTCCAGTAGAGTTCTTCATCAATATAAGCTTGATGTAGCTCCTTTTGCAGATGACTTCTCCCTGTTGTTGAAAGTTTATTGGTTGAAATAGTTGTATCTAACTGATGACGGAGAAGGGCTATTTTCTCTGCAGCGTTAGTACGGTTCCTCCTCTTCCATTGTGAGATGACTCATCGGCAGTTTTGTAGTCTCTGATGTATAGACAGGTCATAATTATTTTGTCTTCCTAAGGATGTCCAACCTTGAAGTACTGCATTTTTGAATCCGTCATGGTCCTTAAATCGACCGTCGTATCGGAAAAAACCTTTTCTCTCCTCTTTGACATTAGTTATGTGAGTAACTAATGGTCTATGGTCGGATTCTGCTATCTCCAAAAACTCTGTTTCTGAACCTGGAAATTGTGTAAGCCAATTGCAATTTGCCATCGTCCTATTTAAACAACATGTGAGGTCATGATTTCTCCTTCTACCATACCAAGAAAATCGATTGTCTACTGTATTCAAATCTGTGAAATCACAATGATTCACCATATTCCTAAAACTTTGAAAAGAGGATTCAGGTCGTATCCGACCCCCTTCTTTTTCATGGTTCCCTGAAATCTCATTCATGTCACCCATAATCATCCAAGAAGAACTTAATCTAGAGTCTGCAATTCTCTCTAACCTTTCCCATGTATGATGCCGTAAACTAGTAGTTGGGTGACCGTAAACCAAAGTGAGATAGAAATTCATCCCATTACTAGAGATAGCCGTATCTACTACGTTAGGATATTTAGAAAGCAATGACAAACTAACAGTTTGTTTCCAAAAGATTGCTAAACCTCCGCTAAGTCCTAAAGGAGGAACTGAAACATAATGAAGAAAACCTAATTGGGCGCCCACATCTCGAATATAGTCGTCTTGTTGCTTCGTTTCTGATAAGAGAATGATGTCCGGGAGATATTTGTGGTTTATCTCCTTCAGGCGTCGAACTGTCAAATCATTCCCGAGACCTTGACAGGTCCAACAGACTGTCCTCGTGGCGGTAGTGGTGGTCCAGGGCCCACCGCGCCTGTTCAAATTGTATTGTCTTCAATCTTCACACCTGTGTTGCTGCTCTCTCCCTTATCGAGCCGTTTTGAGAAGAAACTCCCGATCTTGCCTCCATCTTCAATGTATTTGCGTTTGGCATTGCGATTTGCTGTCCTGGCTTCAATGGAATATTCATCATAGGAGTTACGGATGACATCGAGATCATATTCATCGGTAAGGGCCATGGAGCTCATGGATGATCCGCGATAAATCCCTCCTTGAAGATACGCATCCTCCTCTATATTATCTTCCTCATCAGGCGGTCCTGTATCGTCGACTCTGTCCATTGTTGGGTGCTCTGTATCCTGAGTACCGTCATCAGGTTCTACATTGTCACGCCTTTCCTGGATTGCTTCTTCCTCCATAGCATCATCATTGATTTCCTCAATAATCACTCATGGGGATTGGGGTTGCTGTGGATTCTTATTGTTTCCATGTATCTCGTCATCGCTGCCATCATCTCCGTGCTCATCGATGTTGTCCGGGTCTGGCCCTCCGTTTTAGATGAGGCAATTTCCTGAGCTGTGAGTTAGCATGCCACAGACCTCACAGAAACCCCGTAGTCGCTCGTACGTGAAACTGAGCATTGTGTTGACTCCTGGAGCGAATTGGAAATTCCTTTGGAATTGCAAGGATCGGTGAATGTCCCAGTCAATACAGACCCGCACAAATTCCACCCGAGCCGATGGGTTGTATTCAACCTGCAGAAGCATCCTGAGTGCTCTTCCAATGTGCACTATCACATCATGGCTGAGGTACTGAAATGGTATCCCCCTGATTTGTACCCAGAAAGAGATACAATTTAATTCCTCCGGGTTAGTTCTTGGAGTCCAGCGTTGAAGCACCAATATACGGTCTGCAAATGCCCACGGCCCTCTGCGTAACACCCATTCTAGTGCTTTCCCCGATGAGAAAACAAATTGAAAACGTCGCCCTGCGACGATTCTGCCATGTGCATGCCTATCTACCCCCCCCCCCCCCCCCCCCCCCCCCCCCCCCCCCCCCCCCCCCCCCCCCCCCCCCCCCAAATCCTGGGTAAGTTAGCAACAATTGATCGGAGATTTTGTCTTCTCGGGATCACCGGCCGAACGATGATTACGAATTGGTTCGCCGCCAGTGCCTGGTGAACAATTTCCTCCGGTAAGACAAACGGAGGATCTTCTGCTCCTATGTGGATGTCTGGGATTGCTCTGCGTAAGTTATCTGCCATGATTTTTGGCAAAGAAAAGGCTCGAGAATGAGTAGTTGAGAAGCTTTGAGATTTGGATTGATCTGATCGATGGGTATACATCGCCTTTAAATAAATAATTTCGGTTGAAACTGTTTCGAAGAAACCGTCATCACGATCATTCTTGAGATCGATCGTGGGCATACTCGATGAAGAGTGCAGATCTGCCGAGAAAATAGCCACTCCTTCATCGGAAAAGTAAGAAACCGCCACCAAAGGGGTGGGGTAGAGTCGGTTGAGTAACCGTAATAAAATTGTCTTTTTCGCTACAAGTATATTTTTATCTTAAATTAATTAATTAAACCTAATTTTTTATTTATTTTTAAATTTTTTCATAATAATCATCTAAATTCACAATAGAAATCTTAAATATTATTTGAGAAGCAGGTTTAATGAAAAAAAATTTATGTGTCATCACCTTAGCAAAAGTTAGTGTAAAAGAATATCAGCCTGGAAATGTGACATGGTAAATTTCTTAAAATAAATAAAATTTTTGATTGGTTAAGTTACAACTAAAGAAATCTTATTTTTAAATAAGAAAAAAGTTTATATCATATGTGAATGAATCCTCATTATATAGCAAGAATTCAAAAAACAAAAAATAAAGATAGAAAAATAAATTATAAGTATCCTCTTGGCTAACTTTATTTTATTATAATATTATATATATGAATAAAAAGCAAAAGTAAAAGTAAAATGAATCTTTACGACTTTGGTTTTATGTAAAAATCTCAGGCTATATTTTTGGTTTAAAGCATCTCCAACCCACATTTATTTTAAATCGTCTAATTTAGAAGAAAAAGAAAGATTGTTACTTTTTTCTCCAACTATGGAGGATAAAATAACAATCTTACTTTTTCCTGTAAAATATAAATAGGTTGGAGAGAAGTCCACTTATATTTTAGAGAAAAAATATCATATAAGAATAATTTTAATCGATTTTATGTTTTTATTAGAAATATTTCAAAATATTATCTTA